ATAGGATGGTTCACAATGATTGAAGTTGTGTGCAGTTACGCAAATCTACCTTGTTTGCCGTCTTTTGAATCTGTGATCTCATTCCATGCAGGAGCTCCTTGTGGGCCAAGCTGGGTAAGCRAAGGAACCCCACTGGACAGACAGCCACCAAGGCACAAAGATGCAGATTGGCTGGAGACCAACCTGGGGCTCCCTACTTCTGTAGGGACAGTAACAATGACCATCTTTATCATGTTCTGACTGTACACCAGGCACTTTCCTGAGGCTTTGGAAACACTATTGTATCATCAACACCACCACCAGGGAGGTGGCTGAAATGCAGGGGAATCCGTCTTCCTCAACGCCCCCCCAGAGGGGAAGAAGGTTGCTAMAAGATCAGACCCAGGGACCGAGATCTGCTGTCCTGGCTGTAGCTGAGGGAATGATGTTGGAAGAGACTTTTTTTCCTTTTGCTTAATTTACACAGTTGTAGTCATCCTCTAGTCTTATTCTTAAACTTGAAAACATGGTGTCACAGCTGGTAATTTTAGGAGTGACGAGAGAAGGAAGAAACAGAGACCAAGTGGGAAGGTGGCGTGGGAGGACGGGAGAGGAGCGGTTCCCGTGTGGCTTTCAGGTTCTGCCAGCGCTTCCTCGGCAAGAGGCCAACCATCCCTCTCTGTTCTTTCCTCAACTYTTCAACCCAGCCGCCCTTTGTGATTCAGCCTAGATCTGAACAAAGACGCTAGGCAATCTGGGAACAATTTAATTCTCTTAAAATACACTAATAATTGAACACAATACCTTTCTCCAAGTGGGGAAAAAAACCCTTTAAATAAATGCTCAGCAAACATAGCAGGGTGGTATCTAAGATCGATCCAGAACCACATGTGAACATGAGTGATGTACAACCAAGATGCCAAATTCTAACCGACCCTTCTACCCCACATAGAAGGTGGTCTATAAAGGTGAGACCAGTTCAAGCACTTTCAACGAGGCCGTCTCTGGGTCCCAGACTCCTCCACGGGGAGGACCACATGATGTACAGACAGGCACGCACCCTGAGCCATCTGTCCATCTTTACCTACTTGTGAGGCAGTGGCTGCTAGGACTTAAAGCCACAGGCTACCCCTGGCACATCACCAGCAGTACCCACTGCAGTATCTAAGTTGGCAAGTAAAGCAGGAAACATCTTGACGCTGCCTGTGCATATGATACTGGGTTACCCAGCATCCTGTCACCAAGACAGCCAAAGAGACCTCTAGGTGCAGAATTTGACATGGGCTATAGGTTCTACTCAAGTCGGCAGGATCTTCAAAAATTCAATAGGAGGGAGTCACCTGGTATCAAATAAGAGGGTAGAAATTTGGGGCGTGATTTGCTTTGCCCCTCTCCTAGTGACTTAAAACATAATTTCAATGGCGAAAAAACAATTAAGAGGGCACACAAAGAAAGACACACAATGTATCACAATAAAAGCAATCTCAAAAATTTTTAACTTGCAGATTATTGTGGGCTACACTGTAGGAGAGTGTAGCCAAATATCTTCCAAAGCAAGATATTTCAGCAGGCAAAGAATTCTATGCAAGAAAGGAAAAATAGCCAACTTGTGCTCCTCAGTCTCAGGAGSATTGACTGATCTCCCAGAAACAGTTCCACACCGGAGACGTGGTCACTCAACTCTCTGAACTAGGAAGATGACGACAGGGAACCTAACACCACTGAGCACCAGAAACTGCCAGTGTAACATGTTAACCAATGATCTCTCTCAACTTCCTGGCAATCTGATAAGGCAGGTACTGGTGCTGTTGTCCCCATTCTATGGGCGAATGAAGTGAGGTTGGGTGTGTAGCTAGTAAAGCAGAGCTGGGTTAGGAATTCAGGGCCCTGGCCTTGAACTTCCTCCTCACTGCAGCACCTGGCAATGTCCACAGAAGCCTGACCATCTAGCCTCCCACGGACTGCTGCTGGATTTGACCTTCAAGTGCAACACCTCTGCTCCTAGCCTTTGCATCTTCTGGCCTTGGCAGGACCTTTTCTTTTCTTTTTTTAATTTATTTTTTAGTTTTAGGTGGACACAATATCTTTATTTTTAAGTGGTGCTGAGGATTGAACCCAATGCCTCACGCATGTCAGGCAAGCGCCCTAAAACTGAGCCGCAACCCCAGTCCTAGTAGGACCTTTTCTGAGACCTGCTCAGTCAACACTCACAACTCTTTTGTGGTAAGAAAGAATACTGAGTCTCCTCCTCAAGGAAAAGAAACATTCTCGCCATTTGTGTTAAACCTGCAGGAATCAGCCCCCTGGGCAGACAGGGATCTTGTGGGGTCCTGTGGGACGATATGGCCTCCTGGATCAATTGCCAAAGCCCTTAGGTCTCTATAGGTAGAGTATCCAAGAGAGGAGCCACTAGCCACCTTTGGCTGTGGAGTGCTAGGAATGGGGTCAGTCCAAATCCAGATGTGCTATGAGTATAACACATGGTACAGCACTTGCCTAGCACATGTGAGGCCTGAGTTCAATCCTTAGCACCACATAAAAATAAAAAAAGGTGTTGTGTCCATCTACAACATATATATTTAAAAAAATAAGATTGCAGCTTATTGCCTTAATAATTTTTACATTAATTTTATGTTGACATGGTAATATTTTTTGCATACTAGGTTCAATAAAATATGTTGAAGTTAATGCTCCCAGTTTCTGATTAGGTTTTCTAGTGTGGCTGCTATAATATTCAAGGGTACCTCTGTGACTGTCACATTCCTATTGGACAGAGCTGGTCTGTGCATTTCCAGAGAACTTCAGCTGCCTCCTAAGGATAAGAGGGGATCCCACTGCCTATTTGCTCAGGGTTTACCTCCCYTGTCACTGCATCTGGCAGATGAGAGGGAAAGAATAATCACAATTCTTTCCAGAAGGCCTCAACCAATAAGGGACAGAGAAGAGGCCTCTCCCTGAAGAGCCGCAAGCACGGGGAAGCCTGAACTTCTACCTCACTTGGGTCTCCACAGACCAGAGAAAAGCAAGTCCCGGAGCCAAATAATCTACAGAGAATGCAAGTTATGTCTGCAAAGGCCATATATGTAATTTTTAAAAATTGAGGGAGCCACATTAAAAACAAAAAAGAAGTGAATTTAATTTCAAAAATACATTTTAACCCAGTACATGATATAATCAGTATAAAAATGATCAATAATGATTTTTTTATATTCTTTTCTTCATACTAAGTCTTCAATATCTGGGGTGTATTTTGTGCTCACTCCTCACACATCCCCGCTCACACTTGGCCAGCGCCTGCCATATTGGACCCCATGGCTCCGGGGAAAAGTCTCAACAGGAGCAGAGTGAACAGRACCACTGCAGGAGCCTAAGACTCATGGCTAGGGGCTCAGGACCAGCCTTGCAACCTAGCCACCGAGAAATGTCTGTACAGAGTTTGATGACAGAGGGAAAAAATGACTCTGTAAACAGTTAAGCTAAAAAAAAAAAATGGGTGAAGTGACATTAAGACACTGAAACAGTAATCGTCAGGTGGTACTATGATGGTGGAGTTCTCTCTTTCCTTACAAATAGGCCAGAAATTTTACGTCTAATGCACACTGAGATGTGATAATTTTTTTAAAGTGATAAAAACAATGAGCCATGAAATATTTATTGGGCTGCTCTATCTCTGGCTAATTCTCCAAGAGGGAGATAAAGTGTGTACCTCTTTAAACCCACAGGCACTGATGGAGTCCCTTGTTGGGCGGAGGAGAGGCTTCCCTAGCTAGTCCAACATCCTTCCTGTGCCTTCACTGGGAATGTAAGGCACATACCAGCAAGGGCTGCAGGAAATTTTTCACTGGTCAGCAGCAGAAACAGGCGTCAAATGCAGCTTAGCCTGCATCTGTTTGGGCGGCACAGGCCTCCACACTGGCCCAGAGTCCTGAGTGTCACTATTGTGGGCATCAGAGGCAGCTGGGAATTGGAGGAAGCGCTCAGACTTGAAAAACAGGTGACCATGCATTCTTTCTGCATGTGCAAAATATGAATCAAAACATTTATAAAATGCCTGCAGCTGTTGGTGGAGACATAGGTACTAATTTAGACTCCGACCCTACCGCACATGTTTACAAATGTGCACATGCGCGCACGCACAACACACACACACACACACACACACACACACACACACACGACAGCCCGAGATCTTGGGATACTGCAGAGCTTTTCCGGAGTGTGCGTGTCCACATGTTTCCTTACCCCCAAAGGATGAAACTTAAGCAGCAGCTCCGGCAGAATTACAGGTAACATTTCACTTAGGAAAGAACAGGCAGTCCCCTGAAAGTGTGAGGATCTGGCCGTCACACACATCTGAAACCCGTGCTCCTAATCTCAAGATCTCTGGGCAACATAGGCTGCTGTTGATGAGCCACACCTGCTTCAGAGATTAAACCAGTGCTGACCCATTTGCCTCAAAAGGCAATAAGCTAGATTAATGGGTGCCTGTGGCTGAGAGCACGAGGGGTTGAGGTATGATGTGCAGGTGGTGCAGAACATGTTCTGAAATTGATCGTAGCCATGGTTGCACAGCTCTAAGTACACTAAAAGTTACTGAATCCAGCTCTAAGTACACTAAAAGTTACTGAATCGTACACCGTATATTCTTTCTTTCTTTCTCTTTCTCTTTTGCAGTGCTGGAGATGGAATCCAGAGCCTCGTGCATGCTAGACAAGCACTCCACCATGGAGCTGCATCCCCAGCCTCATTTGTACACTTTAAATGAGTGGATTCTATGGTATGTGGCTAGTATCTCAATAAAGTCATTCTGATTTTTAAAGGTATTGAGCACAAATATGAAAGGGACTCGGCTCATCTCACAACAGTGGCGCTTTGAGTCATCTCAGCACCACTTCACCTGCCTGCAGGAGGGGGCTGGCTCTCTGCCTCTCTTGTGTAGGACTCGTGTATAAAGACTACCCTCTCTAGTGAAACTCCCAGTGTTTCTGGGGCTGAGGAAGGTGCCGGTGAACTTCACTGACCTTTCTGGTCCTCCCACACAGCTGGTCTCATCTGAAGGGAATCTCGGAGCATCCTTCTCAGGAACCGTAGGTAAGGTAGCTGGGCCAGGCCCCGGGCTCTTTCTGGGACAATGAAAGGGAGCAATAGATAAGATAATGTTGATGGTAAGAGAGACATCAATCTCCTAGTCATTTTTGAAAAACATATTTCCCAATGAAAGCTTTAAGTGGCTACTACACCAAAATCCTTCGGGCAGGGTGGGGTGTGAGGGAAACAAAGGTCATACAACTAATGGCTTAGAAATGCTTCCAAATCATCTAAGCCCCCTCTAAACATATCTAGACTCAAAAGCAGATAGATCTGCATCTCCAGAAAAACGTACGACTGATTTCAACCCACACCCACCCAAGCACTGCCAGCCAGTGAAYGCATGACGCTTTGGCAGCGGTTTAAGTTAATAGAAAAGCAGCGAGGCATGTAAAACAGACAGTCCTCACTCCTCCAACCATCGCTCACATATTGCAGAATCTCAGTACATCCAGAGAGGGCAAGTGGGTATATCAGCCATTAGATATGTAAAACTTAGTCTTTGGGAAAACCACCCATCTATTGGGTTGACTTTTTAAAAATCAGGCTGAGTTTCACCCTTGAAGCTGAACCCACAAGAATTTAATTGAAGTACCTGTCAGCGTGTTGCTCTTCYGGAGCCAGGTGTTGCAGCTTTGAGTCTCCAGTGTCATCAGGCTCTGGGGGTGAAACACGCACCTCCCCATTCCCAGCTGGAGTAGGGAGCTCAGGTCCCAGCTGCTCCTTGGCCGGCTGGTGCCCACTTGGGCTGTCCCCTCGCAGGGCAGCTGTGTCCTCCATCGCCTGATGGCTCCCTGGCAGCACCGAGTCCTGAGCTACGCCGGCGATCATCCTTGCAGCACCTGTTTCTGGCAGGTCACCAGCTGTGTGTGCCCATGCCTGGGCTGTGCTCGACGTGATGTCACCCTTCACTTCCCCAGCAGCTCCTGCCTTCTCGCTGGGCTCCTGGGGAGTGTCCAGCACTTCTCTAGCCAGTGGTTCAGGGATGCTCAGGTGGCCAGGGGCGTTTTGCATTTCCAGGATGCTGGCATCAGCTTCAGGCTTCCTTTCACCCCCAAGYAGGTCACTATTAGCCTCGGGCTCAATTAAAACATCCCCACGGGGAGGAGAGGATTCTAGAGCACAGGTAGATTCTGGCACATCACCTGCACCCACCGTGTGAGCCAAGTCCTGGGTACCATCTTTTCCAGGGTGACTGTCGGAGACCAGTGTTMCCTGGCACTGTTTTCCAGAAAGAATTCTGTCACCTTGAACGGAGGCCTCTTCTCCAAGGCTCTGGGGAGCCACCTGGAAGTCAGCAGCTCTCTCTAAAGATGTCCCCTGAGCAGCCACTGGTGAGGAAAGGCCTGAAGCTAGTTCCTGCCCACCCCTCGCCTGCTGTGAGTGAACCTCGGCTCCCAGGTCTGGCCTCTCGCTTCTCCTTGCTACGAGTGGTACACCAGTCACCTCCTCCTCAACACTGGCATCTGACTCACCTGGCAGCTTGTCTGGAGCTGTATCCTGGGAAACCAGATGGGAAATCTTAGCCTCCACAGCCAACTCTGGCTTCTTCTCCACCCAGAGTCCAGCAGGAGGTGCAGGGAGAGTGGTAGCAGCCATTCCTTGAGTTCCATCTAGAAGCTTCTCTGGGCTTAGTAGCGTGGTGAGGTCCTTGCCCACCATACTCCTCCCAGCTCCTGCCTTTTCACTTGGTGCATTCTGGGGCTGGTCAGCAGTCAGGGCTCCAAGCACTGATTGCTCAAAGATTCTGGTGATGTGCTCCCTGAAATCATGGAGCCCTACAATGGGGCTAGGCTGCTTGGAGCTTGCTTCCGTACCACCTGGTGCACCTCTCCTTAGATCTGGAGGCGTCTCTACCACCCTGTCCCTGCTGCCCTCTGTCTGTCTTGCTGCATCACCCACCATGCTGTCCTCGCTGCCAGAGCAGGCTGGAATCTCACAGGGCCTGGCTTCTGGAGCTGTGGCCACTTTGTCCTCCTCTGTCATCTGCTTACTCTTGGCCAGAAGAGGCATCCTGTCCAGGTAGGGCATGGAGTCCCCAGGTTCCTCAGTGGTTCCAGCTTTGGGGCTTCCAGAGCTGGCAGGCACAGCAGAGCCCTCCCCACCTGCAGCTCCTGGTTGCAAGAGGAGGCTGGCCGGCAGCTTCGCAGAGGCAGCCTTTTCCAGCAGGGACTCCTCCATGGGACAGGGACTTTCACTGGGAGCTGTGGGGCCCTCGGAGGAAACAGCTCTCAGACCACTGTCTTCTGCTCCTTTCCCTGCGGCTCCATTGATATGCAGGTAAGGGGTGTCAGGAGCAGTGTCTTTCCCAGCCGGCAGGGGCCTCTCTGGGTCAGGGCCAGCCTGATGTGCAGAAATGCCCTCCGTGCCTCTGGGTATCCCATCTAGCTCTCCAGCCCGTGGCAAGGCATCCTGGCAGCTGGGCATGAGCTGCTCAGTCTCGCAGGACTCGCCAGGGACGGAGGTAGAAGGTCCTTTCCTGGAGGTGGGGCAGYGCTCAGTCTGAGCAAAGGTGTCACCTGGAGCGGTTTGTGGCTCCTCTGGAGTTTGCTGYGTCCCTGGGCCTCCTTCACCAGCACTCTCACCAGCTCCAGCAGCCTCTCCTTCACCACCCTGCTCCCCAGCCAGCGGGAACTTCTCAAGAAGCTTATGGGTCTCTGTAACTGTGGTGGCCGAGGTGGCAGGGCACTCCATTTCTTGCTGTAGGGCYGGCCCTGGTTGCTGCCTCTCTTCCTGGGCTTGATCACATGTCTGTCTCTCTGGAGCATCCTGGGTGGGTGTGACTCTGGGGCTGGCCAGTGCTGGGGCTGCCAGACCATGAGCTGTATCCAGGAGGGCCACTGAGTCAGGTGGATGAGGCGGGGCCCCCACTGTGTCTCTACTTGCCATCTCTGCCTCGCACAGGCCCGAGGGTGGGGGCTGTGCGTCAGCTACCCCCGCGTCCCAGCAACATGCCCCTTCACGCAGGCTGCCTGCTTCCACAGCATCACCCAGCTCCTGTTGGGACTTGTTTGGCCCCTGCCCAGCACAGCAGCTTCCCTCCCCGCCCAAGCTCCCTGCAACAGAAGAGTCTTTTAAAGTGTCTCCTGCGTTAAGCAAGACCCCTGAAAGATGGCCACGGCTGCCTGCTCCCTCTTGCCCATTCTCCCCTAATGCAGGCAACTTCTGTTCTGTTGGAGTTGGCAATTCTGACTCTTCCGATGGAGAACTCTCTAGAACCAAACTTGGAGCGTCACACAGACTGTCTTTGGGAAGCACACTTTGAAGTTCTGATCCAGATGCCTGCTCCTGTCCTTCATAACTGGGCAAGCACACGTCCTCCCAAGGCTCCGTGGGTACGTGGGCTGGGGAAGGACCTGCACCCTGGTTCTTCACACCTGGGTTGCCTGGATAAGCCTCTTTCCCATTTGCAGGAGGTTGAGTCATCTCCCTGAGCTTATCAATGATGGGTGCCCCCGTGTCTGACTGTGATGGCACGAGGCCGTTCTCAGAAGACAGTGGGGGCCTCTCGGATGCAGCTTCTCTTGTCCCACTGTCCTCTGGGYGGGACGGGTTTCCCTGAAAATCTGGCTTCAGCCTGAGCATCGTATCCACTGCTGGGGTCTCCTCACAGGGAGTGTTTGGCACATCAGCATGAACTTCCTGTCCATCTACATTGTGCCCTGGCCCAGAGGATTGGCCTGGGGATGTCAGCAAGTTCTCCCCATCACAGCTGCGGGGCCTCTGTGGGGACAGGTGGCCTGCTGTCTTTTTTTCCAATGTGTTCTCTACCTCTTGGGCTTTGGATACAACCTCTGCAGCAGGAGTCAACAGGAAATCTGATTTCTCTGATTCTAAAGCAGGAAGAGACTCCATTCTTCCCAATCCCCACGTGTCCTGAAGGGTATCAGGGCATCTGGACTGCAACCCCGGAACAACATCCTCAGTTTCATCTGGTGCTGGGGGCAGGACCGGCTTCTCCTCAGGGAAGAGCAGTGAGGTGGCTGCAGTGGTCACATTGGCACCAGCCGTCGCCGGCCACGCTACCTGCATTGACTGAGGGTTGGGACCGTCTATGTGTCCAGCACTGTTCTTCCTGGGTGGCTGTGCTGAGTCTAAGCTGGGAAGGATTCTGCTTTGTTCTTTGCCACTTTGTTTCGAAACCTCATCTTTGTCCCCCTCAGTATTGGGCTTGCCACCAAGAGCCTGCGACTCCTCTGCCCTCAGGTTTCCAGGATCTGTACCACCAGGTGGCTCTGGGGTGGCATCCTGGCTCCTGGGGTTGTCTCCAGCTGATCTGATCTCKTCTGTAGCCACAGCAGGACCCTCATCATCCTCGAGGGCCTTGGCTCCATCCTTCGGCCCCTCTGACCTTCCAATACTTTCACTCGAAGTCCCAGGAGGAGGAGGGGGCAGCGGCATCCCTAGTGTGACCCCCTGGCTTTGCTCCCTGTTCCAGGACTCTGCTCTCTCCTGAGGTGACGGGGCAGGAAACTCCCCAGTGCTCCCTTTTGGGTGCTCTCTCTGTCTCTCAAGATCTGATGCCCCCCCCTCCAATCCTCCCAACCCTGTATTCACCAGCTCTTTGGCTGCTTCTGCAGAAACTGGTTTCTCCGCCTGGGAAATCRTCTCCCTGGCCAACCGGCTGGATCCTCCTTCGGCAACAGGGATCTGAGCATCTGTAGGTGCCATGGGGCTTGAAKCTGGACACGTTTCCCCAGTCGGAGGGAGTGGAGAGGGCTGGGCACTCACCAGCAAACCCCCAGCTGGCTGGCCACCTGCAGCCACACTGATGACTTGATGGGGTTCAGCCCTTTCTGTTCCTAACTGTGAGTGACCCTGAGCGTCACTGGTGTCCGGAGGCTTCTTGCAGGAACCGCTGATTGCTGCAGCCAGAGCAGGACTGTGCAGGTCCCTGGGCAGCTGTGTGTGGGTCAGAGGTGGTCCCATTTGCTGCCAGCGGCTTTCCCGGGAGGCAGAATTTGCCTCAGCTTCATAGGCGGGGCCTGAATCGCTGGGAGGCGGGTGGCAGGTCCCGAGGATTTCCAAGCTGCCGGCTGAATGTGGAGGCGTCACCTCCACTCCGCCTGGATATTGTGGTTCCCTGGTCTCAGGTACTGGGGGCCACTCCTCCAGGCCATCTGAGCTCTCCTTGCCCAGCTGGACTGCCGCTGGGGCCTTGGTGGCCACCTGTACAGAAGCTGGTCCTTGCCCGGACTCKGCAGGGGGACCTGCAGCCTCTTCCTCTCTGGCCTCGAAGCCACCAGAGTGGGCCCCCTCTGCACACGGCAGCTCCCTCCTCGGCCCTGCGGGCTGTGCTGGCYGGATTCCCGTCAGCTGGCCGATGTGGCTGGAGGAAGAGGAGTCCTGTGCCTCTTCCCTCRGCTCCTCCTCACATCCAGTACTGGGGAGGATGGCAATTCCGCTGTGATGAGTAGAGCTGTCCCCCTCAGGTGTAAATGCCGCCATGACATCTCCCGGGGCACTTGGGGATGTTTCTGGTGCGGCTGTGGGGCTTGCCAARCAAGCCTCTGGGGGGCACTCGGTGAAGGGCATGGAGGTCCTGGGCCACTCCTGCTCCCGGGGCGGCGATAGGCCAAGCAGCGAAGAACCTCCCGGCCCCCTGGCTTCCTGTGGGGTCTTCCTTGGCTCCGTCACCTCTGGGGACAGGAAGGTCGGATCCCGGCTGRCAGCACTCTCAGAAGTGGAGGGGGGGCTGCCGAGCCCAGCGCTGCCAACAGTGAAAACACTCAATGTGTCATTGGTTCTCAAGGGTGCCAAGGACATCACAGCAGGTCACGCCAACCCGCCCCCACCCCAGGCCACCAGCAGCCTCCACCACAAACAYGTGGGCCCCCATGCAGCAGGCTGCTCCCCCTGGGAAGCCCTCCAGCCCCTCCCTTTCTCCAAGTCAGACATTCCGCTGGGGGCTTCTGTGCTGGTCAGCAGCAAACAGGGAAAGATGGAGACTCATTCATAATAATCTAAAACACAGGACACCCAGGAGGACCTAAAATGGGGGTTTGAACCAGTTCCCTGTAGACTATAAGAAGGTCTTGAGTGCTTCTGGGAATCCTTTGATGTTCAAGAAAAAAGCCCAAGTTGGCCAGGCCAGGCTTTGAAATGGAGAGCTATTCCTGAACACAGTTAACTTGATTCTCCGCCATTTGACAGGTGGTAAGAGAGACACAACCCCAAAGTCATTTCTGTTTAGCATGGAATTTCTGTACCCAACCAACATGTATCGCTTGGAGTCTGAAATACCTTCATACCCCTATCTGTCCTGACTTGAACACACTTATCTGGGCAATGCATAGAAAAAGCAAAACAAAGCACGCAAGAAACTCAGAGGAACCGGTTCAGAGTCAAGGAGCTGCTGTASATAGCTGACTATCGCTATCATAAAAGAATCCGTCACATGCTCTGCTTGATTGTTGCCCAATCCCATATAGTTTGAAGTAAAAATATTATTTTAAAAATAATAATTTTAAGGCCGCCTGCGGTGGCACATGCCTGTAATCCCAGCAGCTGGGGAGGCTGAGGCAGGAGGATCTTGAGTTCAAAGCCAATTTTGGCAACTTAGCAAGGCACTAAGCAACTCAGTGAGACCCTATCTCTAAATAAAATACAAAATAGGGCTGGGGATGTGTTCAGTGGTTAAGCGCCCTGGGTTCAATCACAAGTAACTAATTATAAAAATAATAATAATTTTAAAATAATTATTTTATAAATAACATATACACAATACGAAATTTGGAAAACAGGAAAAAATATCCAATGTGCTTGGCACTTTCAGTGGTCTAGGGATTTTTTCCTTTCTATTTTTTTTCTCCTGTACAGTCTCTTAGGGGTATGATTTTTATTATTTGTACATAGCTGTGACTCTATACACTTGCTATGATTAAATATTTTCTGGTTTCAGGAGAATTTGCTCAATGCATAACTAATAGTGTTTCTAAAGCCATTATCCTTTTCCTTCAAGTTTTCATAAGGAGGAAAATAGTGAAGGAACGGCGTGGAATCTTTTTGTAACCATCTGTTACACACACKCACATTCACACACACCTGGACCTGCAGTGTTCTGGATAAGGCCAGAGGAAGGAATCTATTCTCTGTGTTCACTGCCCAAATTCCAGGTTTCCGTGCAAGACAGTACACGTGCATTCATATGTGAGGGAGGCACAGAAAGGGAGGGAGAAGTATGATCCTATTAAAATGTAAAAATATGTCCTATGGCCTGAACTGTCTGTCCCTCAATGCCCACATGTTGACATCCTAGTCCCCAACGTGACTGCAATGTGACAGGGCTTTAGGARGCAAAAATTAAAAGAGGTCCTAGAGTTGGGGACCTAATCCAATGAGAAGGGTGTCCTTATAAGACGGAAGACACTGGAAGTGCTGGGCACAGAGGGAAGGCTGTGTGAGCCGGGAAGCGCCTCCCTAGCTGGCAGAGCCCTCTCCAGAATCCAGCCCTGCTGGGCCCCCGACTGTTAAAGTCACCCAGACTGTGGTGTTTTGTGACGACAGCCCAAGCAGACTAATAAAACAGAGGCATATGGACATTCATTGTCCTATCCTTTCAACGTTTTGGAGATTTCAAATTTTCCAAAATAAAAAAATTGAGGAAACAATAATGAATGAAATCACATCAGTGCTTGKCAAGGATCAGCTCATTAAACCGTGCTGACAGCTGGGTGGGGTGGGCAGCCCTGCTGCCATTTGCAGACGAGAGCACTGGGGAACAGAGAGGTTGAGCTTGGYTTTCAACTCGGGCATCTTCCTACTCCCTGCCACCAAGAATAAGAACTCCCAAGGAGGGCAGGAGGCTCTTTACCTGGCCCCCATCCAGCCTCTCAGCCCGGCCGTCACCCCCAAACGTGCCATCGTCCAACATTCTTCCAGAAGGTGTGTGCCCATGATCACCATGGCGGTCACCTTGGTGACTATGCTGACACCCGTGCCTGCGTAAGGACACAAGACAGAGACCCGGGGGAGCTGGCTCTGGTCTCCACCCGATTTTTCTGACTCCAAAGCAGGGTTGACAAGGGCAAAGAGAAAGCTCCAARGGCGAGATATCCAAGCCCCCACAACGCTCAGAGGTCACCAAGATGGCCCGGTCAATGGAGAGCCCTGGCCCAGTGCTGCCAGCATATGCAAAACAAAACCACCCTGGGACTTGGGTGAAGCCCATTGACCTGGCCTCCTGGAAAGCCCCAGGCCGAGGAGGGGCCAGAATGACAGGGCTCTTGGCTCACCTTTGCAATTCCCTCCTGGCAGAGCCTCTTTTGTTTTTTTTTTTCTTTATTTGTACTAGGGATTGAACTCAGGGGCACTTAACCACTGAGCCACATCCCCAGCCCTGTTTTTTATTTTTTWAATTTTTTTTATTTTTAATATTTATTTATTTTTTGTTTTCGGTGGACACAACATCTTTGTTTCTATGTGGTGCTGAGGATCGAACCTGAGCCGCACGCATGCCAGGTGAGTGCGCTACCACTTGAGCCACATCCCCAGCCCCCCCCCAGCCCTGTTTTGTATTCTATTTAGAGACAGGGCCTCACTTAGCACCTCGCCATTGCTGAGGCTGGCTTTGAACTCGACACTCTCCAGTCTCAGCCTGAGAGGTGTGCGCCACTGAGCCAGCAGGAGCCTCCTTTTAACAAGCATTTTACATCTCATTTCAGGGTGTCCCAGCCACTAACTGAGGTCAAACAGTTTAGCAGGCTATAAAATTAATGGAGTGCTCCTTTTTAAAAAAAAATTTTTATTTTTCTTTCTCTTAGTAGTGGGGATGGAATCTTGGCACATTCTGACCCTGAACTATAACCCCCCAAGCTTATTTTATTTTATTTATTTAAGACTGGATCTTCCCAAGTTGCTCAGGCTGGCCTGGATCTTGCTTTCCRGATTCAGCCACCGCCTGCCCCCAGGTGGAATTACTGACATGCCACCACACCTGGCTGGGGGTTCCTATAGATGTCGCCTGCTCAGGAGCCTGGAGCACAGCCCCTTCCTGTCCCCATTATTGTAACCGTGGTCCACTTTCTGCTTYGAATATAGATAGGCCTTTGCTGCTCCACCACTGAAATTTAATTTTTAAATGGACATGTTTCTTTCTCTTCCTCTCTCCCTGCTCCTCCCTAATCTCTCCCCGTCCCTAAATCTCAGGGGAAACAGAATTACCTTTCGTCCCCATCCAAGGCAGAATCATCTGTCCTGAGTACACATCCACCATAAGGATGAGGTAATCCAGACTTTGGGGATGGTACCAGAAGATCTCAGGAATGACCATCCCACTGAAAATAAAATAAACAAAGCCACTTCCTTGCCCATGCCTCTGACAGCAACTGCTATTTAGGAGGGTACAGTTTCCCTTAGGCTGACTGAAGTCATTACTAACTGGGACAAGATGATAAAAGTTGACTGTACTGGGGGCTGGGGTTGTGGCTCAGTGGTAAAAGTGCTTCACTAACATGTGCGAGCCCTGGGTTCGATCCTCAGCACCACATATAATAAAATAAAGGTATTGTGTCCAACTACAACTAAAAAATATTTTTTTAAAAAGGTGACTGTTTTGGCATCTTGAAAACTTGTGTGTTCTTATCAGAGAGCAAACAGAAGTGAATTTTCCTCAGAGTACAGGACCCCCAGCAACTAACTGGTCCCCAAAAGTAACCCAGACATTGGTTTATTTACCATAAGTTGAGCATCAGCAATCTCTTTGATTACCCATCGGAAGCAATTTTAAAAGCCAGATTAAAGCCACTCCCCAGGAACTGATTTGCCTAAGGGCAGGAAAAATTCTAAGAACCTGTCTGTTGAGGACTCTGCMTTAATTAAGCTCACATAACAACCTCTTATACTTCAAGATTGAGTCCAAATGTGTGGGACAAGGCTGTGCTCAGAATCCAGGGGGGTGCTTCTCACTGGCTGGGCAGCAGGCAAGCTCAAAGGAAGTCTTTCAGTTTTGGTGTCAGTGTCAAGGTCACGGTCAGGGAAGGAACAAGGACCACAGCGTCCCAGTGCCGTCCCAGTGCAGATCTTTGCCCATAGTGCCCTCATGAAGCTGCTGAGCAGATGATGGGGACAGAGAAGGCCCTCCCCACTGCCCTGGTGAAGACATAGTTCTGAAATACATAGTTCTGAACACACACTGTGTGTGGGGGAGTTGGCTGGCTGTGGAAAACAAATGTCCTGCACCCTGGACTTTAAAAAGACCATCTAAATGAGGCAAAACTATGGTGAAGAATTGCTCCACACTATGTCCTTACTGAGGCAGAGCCCCTGGTAAGCAGTTGTGGTCGCACAGCAGCCTTGCAGAGRGGATGCTCCCGGGCACACGTGAAGAAATCTGCCAGGAAGGTCCAAGACTGGCCTGGAGGACAAGAGCTGCTGACCAAAACAGGACCAAGGCCTCGGGACTGCCTGAGCAGAGTCCATTTCTGTACTTGCTGCCAACACCAGCCTCTTGCCTGGACAGGTGCACTGCCCCTTCTCCCATCCACTCTGGCCCCTTCGTTCTGCTCTCCAGGCTGCAGCCAGAGCACTGGCTTGGAAGTGAGAGTCTGCTCCCGTCTCCCCTGTGGGAAAGCTGTGGCTTGGCTTTGCTATCAGCTCTGGTGCAGCCCCCTGGCCTCCCCTGGCCTCCCCTGGCCTCCCCTGGCCTCCCCTGGCCCACATCTCCTGGAGCTCACCAGCCCTGCATCTGCCTGAGACCTGGAGCCCTCCTGT